AAGAAAGAAGGATCACAGTATAATAGTTTCAAGCTTTGGACTGAAAACTCTCAGTCTTCTCCCTGTCCCATTCTCTAATTTCCTAGAATAAGTACTTGAGCTAGGCATCAAAGCATATAGGACTACACTTACGAGCTTCCTTCTTTCTTTTGCTTACAGGGAATCTATTGAATTTCTTCTCAGAGGGTGCAGGATCTAGCTGGCCTAACTTAGATGTCCTTATCTCAGAGATGACTTCATTTTCCTGAGAGGCTGAAATCTCTGGAGTATGAGGTACCATTATCTTCTCTCTGAAAATGAAGTTCTCTTAGTGAAAATGTTAAAAGGCAGAAATTTGCAATATCATTCTTTCAAAAAAACCCAAGAGTTAAAAGAAGAACAATTCTAAGCTCTCCAAGGTCATTTTATTCACCTACTTGCTTATTTCTCCAAACAACTTTCCTAAAGTGAGAGAAATATATGGAAATACAATAAATGACTAGACAAGTAGATCACCATTTACCAATGGTAAGTCCACTCTGTGTTCAACTTGCCTCACTGAGATAAACTTACCTATCAGTGTTATCATTATCAGTAGCAGAAGTTGTGATTGCTGGTTCTTTGCCTGACGGAGTACACACTACCGGCTGGGCACAGGAAGTCTCTGCAAAATCAAGGCCAGATCCCATCCCTCCCAAAATAAAATATTACAAACATAAAAGCAGTAAAAGAAAACCACTCCCTTATTTCCTAATATTTCTTTAAAATGTCTTCTCCCTGTTACCTAGAAGAGCCTACCTTTGGTCTCTTGTCCTATCAGAGTACTTTAAATAGTTAAATTTCAAAGAAAAACTATAAATTTAAATCTTTCTGCAAGCCTTTACTGATCTACCTTATTCCAGGATAGCCATGTAATGATAATTTTATTTCATGTACAAAAAAGTTATATATACTGCGTTTTATATTATTTGTTCCTCAAACACCCTCTAGGACTAGAAGCATACCTGAGAATAGTTAAAATGTCAGGCCATTCTCCTTAGCCTCATGACCTTATGGAGAAGGCCTCAGGTCCTATACTACAGAATGACTTATTTTAAAAATTAAATCCCTGAGCATATGCAAAAACAGTATTAGAAACAGAAATACACGAGGGCAGATGGAGACCAAGCTCTTTAAATCTGTGGAAAACGATTTATCTTTTCTAAGTAGATTGTAAACATAGAGAAATGAATTTAAGTCAGATTTTTAAGAAGTGAGACTACATTTAAATTCTGAAGTCAATGTAAACTACTTTTCTAAAATTCTATACCCTTTATCTAATGTGGTTTAGCTATAGCCCTATTGAAAGATGATGATGTATTTTAAAATACTCTGAAGTCTCAATGAATATATCCTTACTTAGGGAGATGAAAAAGAAGAAAAGAAGTTGTTGAACTTACTCTACTTTTCAGAAACCCTTTTCCTAATTGAAACCCTTTTTCTCGCAGTGAAAGCCATACCCAAGCATTCTTGGAAGGACTTCTGCAGCACAATTTGGATAATCTCTTCAAATTCTGCATCAGAAAGACTTGATTTTTCCTGCAGAGACAAAGGTATGGAGAAAAACTGCTTATAGTTCCATAGTTCTTCCGTCTAACCAGTCAGGAAAGCCTTTTTTAGATGAGACAGTAAATTCACAAGAATTAAGGTATGAGGTCAACCTATCCATGGAGTACATAAACTCTATCCCAGATCTCCTGGGAATAGAGGAGTCAAAAAAAGGAAAACGTTTATAAATTGTCTACTTCTACTCTTATCTCCATCCTACCTCATCCCATTATTTTCTGCTAAATGCATTCATCAAAACATTTTTTACCTCTTTGAGAAGAAAATAGAAGCTCCTCAAAAGGAGTAAAAAACTGAAACTATAGGATGAATCTCCCAGTATGAAAAGACTTTGTCTAGCCTAGGTAGGGGCAGGTTGGGAGGAACCGTCCCACTAGAGCCCAACAGGGTGACTGATACCTTTGCTTTCTTCTCTGCTTGCTTGTTGTCATGAGCTTTTCCTTTTTTCTTCTGACCACTGCTTGGACCATTCTCTGTGGTTGCTTTCTCTTCCTTCTTCTTTATTCTGGCCTTTGGCAGGCATGGCCTGGTCTCTGATTCTGGGGAACTAATCCCCAGGGTCTTCTCCGTGGATGAGTTAGGGCTATAAGGTATCAAGCTATGTAATTTTTGTGTAGGTGGGGCAAAGATTTTCTTTGGTCCCTTTCCACATCCTGAAAGAAATTTGATCATCAAATCAAACCTATAAAACATACAGTATAACAGAGATTGCTAAACGCTATTTATTGGTCACATCAGAATTTTATGGACAGAGTTTTTAACAAATTCAGATTCCTACATCCCTCCCTGACCAGTCTATTCCCTAATCCAGAGATTCTGATGGAGTAGTTTGAAGTGAGGCCCAGAAATCTGTAATTTTATAAGGCTAGTTGATTCTAATACATTGCCATTTTTGAGAACCATTGAGTAATTCAAAAGTGAAAAATATAAGCATGCAAGAAGCTGAGTTATTAAAGAATAAAATTTTAAAACTTATTCACTTTTAACTATGAATAAAATTTTATGGGAAATTAGAATAATTTTTTTAAAGCAAACCAAAATCTATAAACTATGCAAGGCCTAGCTCTTAGGCTACTTCCTCAATAAAAAGTATATTAATCCTCCCAGGTATAAGCAATGTATCTTTTTTTTGAATTCCATAATACTTTGTAGATCTCTGGTGGCATTTACCACATTCAACTTTTTTTTTTCTTTTTTGAGACAGAGCCTCACTCTTTCACCCTGGGTAGAGTGCTGTGGCATCCTAACTCACAGCAACCCTCAAACTCTCAGGCTCAAGAGATACTTCTGCCTCAGCTACCTGAGTAGCTGGGACTACCAGCACCCACCATGATGCCTGGCTAGGTTTTCTATTTTTAGTTGAGACAGGGGTCTCACTCTTCCTCAGGTTGGTCTCAAACTTCTAGGCTCAAGCAATCCACCCACCTCAGCCTTCCAGAGTCCTAGGATTACTGGCATGAGCCACTGCACCTGGCCTACCACATTCAACTTTATGACAGATATTTAAATGTCTTTTCTCTCTCCCTGAGTTTATATGGTCCCTGAGCAGGACTGTTTCTAAGCCATATTTATTTCACTGAAAGCATCTAGCAGAGTAGTAACTTGAACAGAGTGGACACAAAATATATGTGAATTGAACTGCCCCTCAATGGGAAAGATGTCCAGAAGGAGAAAATGAGAGAAATGTACAAAGTGAACCTTCCTCACTCTTGACTCACCTTCTTTATTATGCAATGATGTCATCATTCGGCTCAGAAACTACACTTTATTTGCCACTGTTAGAAAAAGAAATTCATCACTATAACTCTGATTAAACATGATTTTGGACTTTTATCTCTACCTGTTTTCTTGGGTTCAGAATCTCTTTGCCTGACACTTCTGAACTGTATTTCTGTTTCCTTGACTACACTTCTACCTCTTTAGTAGTGCCAGTTACATGCCAGGGAATAATTAGTTCTTGTTTTAAACAATCAACAAAAATCCTTAGTGTTTTAAGTACCCAGAACCATCTTCAACATAAGGCAAGCACTCATAATTAGGTAAAAATGGTAATGGCGGTAATGAAAGCATAGGTAGTAGGATACAGATAGTCTTGGAAGTTAAAAGGAATGAGAATTTTTGGGCGGTGCCTGTGGCTCAAAGGAGTAGGGTGCTGGCACCATATGCCAGAGGTGGTGGGTTCAAACCCAGCCCTCCCCAAAAACCACAAAAAAAAAAAAAAAAAAAGTGAGAGCTTTCTTCAAAGGGCTAACCTCATTTTACAAGCTCTTAAACACTTAGCACACAAATAATCTGCTAATTCATTCTCTGACATAGTTCAGAGGTCTCTATAAATAGAAAACCCCTTTTTGTAACATCATTGTAATGTTTTTTTTCCCTTTTCTTAGATTCCCATCCAATATATTTTCCAATATGCTGGATTCTACCAATCTCTATTCATAGCTCAGAAATATTTGGTAACTAGCAGCAATCCCCAAGAATTTAACACCTTTTACCTTAGAACCTAATAATGAAACATTAGTACCTTCTTTGATATTCATAGTTCATCTTCAGCAATCTACTCACAGTTGGTCTATACCACATCGATATGCATTATTACTACTGATATTATGACTAATGATAATGGCCAACACTTATTGAGCACTGACTATATTCTTTGCCCTTTTAAGTATCACTCTCACACAAATCTATGAGATGGATACCATTTTACACTTGGAGAAACTGAGGGCTAAAGGGATTTAAAGATATTAAGTAATTGATATGTAGTAAAATCAGGATTAGAATCAGTTTGATTTCAAAGTCTGTGCTGGCTCGGCGCCTGTGGCTCAAGCGGCTAAGGCGCCAGCCACATACACCTAAGGTGGTGGGTTCGAATCCCCAGCCCGGGCCCGCCAAACAACAA